ATACACATCAATGCTGTCATTCGTGTAGATAATCCAATTCATGTAGTTATTGCTGCTTACATGTATGCTCTGCAATTTCGTGCACAAAATAAAAGGATCCTTTTGAATTGTGAAAAAGGACAAGTCAAGTCTTTCTGTCTATTTATTCTTGGAAACAGCTAGAGCTTAATAACATGCTTTTTTCTCATCCTGGGAAAGTGTACTGAAGACAATTCGTCCGTTGACTCCTAACATACTTCCTGCTTTGGCAATTTCTTGTAAATATTTTTTAATGAGAATAATACTAAATTAATAAGATTTGAAACTTCTTGTTGAATTTTTAAGCAATTAAATGTCTAACAAATCTTTAATACCTTAATAACTATGAAATAGCACTGATGCTTAAAATCTGAAGGAATAAATACATTAATGAAATAACATATTATTTACTGAAAAAGCACTATCTATTTTATTAATTATTAAAAAAAAAAAAAAAAAAAGAATTCATGATCAAGGTTTTGAACTCAATTCTCCTGGGTGAGAGGCTCCCATGCTACCACTGAGCTAATGCCACATTCCGGGATGCTATGACATCATTTAACAAGTAGTTTTACATATACATCAATGCAGACGATGTTATAAAGTTTAAATACTCTATATACAGTATCTTTAAATTGTTTTGAGACTTGCGATAATTTTATTTTCACAAAGTAAATTGAATTCTTCTTATCTACCTTTTAAAAAGACATAAAAACCTCTTAATCACTGTGTGTAAAACGACCACAGTTGTTTGTTGTTGTTGTTGTTGTTTTTGTGAGGGCGAAAGAACCGGACCCAGATCAAGTATTCAGCAATAAAATAGCTTGAACAGCATAAATTCTTTCAATGAATCAATAAAATTACATAACAACACCTTGCTCATTCTAAGAATGAAATATTTAAGGCATAAGTAGAATTTCAGCATTTATTTATAAGCGTTTACATATAATTCTTTTAACCTGCCAGAGTTTTGTTTACAACTGTTACAGTGGAAACCGTCTAACTCGTACCAAAACATAATCGTACTTATTTTAGTGAAAAGTGCCTTTAATTTACTAGAAATGATTTTCCTGCAAACATTTATTGAAATATATGTTATGAATCATATTTCAACAACTTAGAATACAAATTAATCATGTTGAGTGCAATATACATGCTCCATGATTTGCATTTACTGAAATTAATGCCAGAAAATGACGTTTAGATATTAGATAAAAATCTTATTTTGGAATAGAGCACAGGCAAGCCCCAACTTTATATTGATATAGTTGAAGCCTTTGATACATTACAACACAATGGTGTAATGATTTTGTTGGGGCTGGACTGTGCTGATACTTTAATTTTCGTTTAAAACACCAAAAATACGTGAATTTTCCTAATTTTGCTTGAAATAGGGGTATTTCCATAGAAAATAAATCATACTAAATGTAAACATATGTCTATAAACTCATAACTGTTTAACAGTTTAAGGGTTGAACTTATAAATAAAACCTAAAAACAAGAACTTTTCATCAAATTATTTTTTGCCAAAATCTTGGGCAAAAATCCATGGTTAGTGAACCTAGCTCTTTGTTCTATTTGTTTACATTAATTGAACATTATGTACTATTTAAAGCAAATAAAGCTATTATCATTATATTAAAACCAAAATCCCAGGGACTATGAGATCTGAACATCTAGTGTAACATTTCCCCCAAAAATGTAACAAACGCCTCCCTGCGGCGTGTAATTTCTGGGTTTTCTAACAAAAAATGATTAGAAAGTCATAGAATTTTTGATGTTTTTTTTAGGAAATGTGTTTGCATATTTGATTTAAGAATGATTTGGTGTTTGTATCTTGTTTTAAGATTGACAATTTGCAGAATATTCATCCAAATAGTTATCCTTTCTGTGATATTAAAATAACTTTATTATTTGACATAGATAGTCCATTTACTGTGCAGAAGGGACAATTTGTTCAGCCAATATACACATTTTCAACATACATGTATATGAAAAAATGCGATCGATTCATAATGATATGTGTTTGTATATATATTCTTTTTATATGTGCTTGTACATTTATATGTAAAGTCAAGATCTGTGTTCATGTATATAGATGTTTTGATATGTGTTTAAGACTGGCTTTATTATTGATATGTGCTTAAACATTAATATGTATACCTGCATTATTGTCAGGGTATGTCTTTGTATATAGTAGTTATGGTATTTTAAGGTCCTTTGTGCCTCCTTAGGAAATATTTTAAGGTCCCTAGCAGTCCTTTCGCACCTGAGCAGTCCTTAGCGGTCCTGCAACTCATCGAAAGCATAAATTCTATCACCAAAATTATATTTTTTTCTTACAATAATACATTTTTGTCTATTAACTTACTACCATATATTATAAGAATGTTCTAGGAGGGATTTGAAGGTCCTTTGTGCCTCCCTAGCAGTTGTTAGTGCACCTGAGCAGTCCTTAGCGGTCCGACAACTCTTCAAAAACATGAATTTTATCACTATAATGATATTTTTCCTTAAAATTATACATTTTTTATCACTAAACATACTACCATGTATTATAAGAATGCCCTTACAGGTATTTTAAGGTCCTTTGTGCCTCCTTAGGAAATATTTTAAGGTCCCTAGCAGTCCTTTTCGCACCTGAGCAGTCCTTAGCGGTCCTGCAACTCATCGAAAGCATAAATTCTATCACCAAAATTATATTTTTTTCTTACAATAATACATTTTTGTCTATTAACTTACTACCATATATTATAAGAATGTTCTAGGAGGGATTTGAAGGTCCTTTGTGCCTCCCTAGCAGTTGTTAGTGCACCTGAGCAGTCCTTAGCGGTCCGACAACTCTTCAAAAACATGAATTTTATCACTATAATGATATTTTTCCTTAAAATTATACATTTTTTATCACTAAACATACTACCATGTATTATAAGAATGCCCTTACAGGTATTTTAAGGTCCTTTGTGCCTCCTTAGGAAATATTTTAAGGTCCCTAGCAGTCCTTTTCGCACCTGAGCAGTCCTTAGCGGTCCTGCAACTCATCGAAAGCATAAATTCTATCACCAAAATTATATTTTTTTCTTACAATAATACATTTTTGTCTATTAACTTACTACTATATATTATAAGAATGTTCTAGGAGGGATTTGAAGGTCCTTTGTGCCTCCCTAGCAGTTGTTAGTGCACCTTAGCAGTCCTTAGCGGTCCGACAACTCTTAAAAATATGAATTTTATCACTAAAATGATATTTTTCCTTAAAATTATACATTTTTTGTCACTAAACATACTACCATGAATTATAAGAATGCCCCAACAGTTATTTTAAGGTCCTTTGTGCCTCCCTAGGAAATATTTATAGGTCTTTGTGCCTGCCTAGCAGTCCTTTTCGCACCTGAGCAGTCCTAAGCGGTCCGGCAACTCATCGAAAGCATAAATTCTATCACCAAAATTATATTTTTCGTACAATAATACATTTTTGTCTATTAGCTTACTACCATATATTATAAGAATGTTCTAGGAGGGATTTGAAGGTCCTTTGTGCCTCCCTAGCAGTTGTTAGTGCACCTGAGCAGTCCTTAGCGGTCTGACAACTCTTCAAAAACATAAATTTTATCACTAAAATGATATTTTTCCTTAAAATTATACATTTTTTGTCACTAAACATACTACCTTGTCTTATAAGAATGCCCTAGGAGGTATTTTAAGGTCCTTTGTGCCTCCCTAGCAGTCTTTTGTGTATCTGAGCAGTGCTTAGCGGTCCGACAACTCATAAAATTTTCACCAAAATCATATTTTTTCTTAAAATTATAAATTTTTTTTCACTAAAAATAATACCATGTAATATAAGAATGGCCTAGGAGGTATTTTAAGGTCCTTTGTGCCTCTTTAGTAGTCCTTTGTGGCTCCTTAGCAGTCCTTAGCGGTCCTTAGCAGTCCTTAGCAGTGTTTAGTAGGACCCAGAATTTTCAACATAGGAAGAAAAGAAAAAGATTTCAAAATAGGAAGAACAGATAAGACATGCATAATCTCAAGACTGCCATCTACCCATATGTCAAGTTTCATAAAAATATTTCCAGTACTTTTTGAGTTATCACTGGATTCAGTTTATGTGTAAAATTTGCCATATTTTCAGTCCATGTGTTGCCATAGCAACCAGAATTTTCAACATAGGAAGAAAAGAAAAAGATGTTCATAATCTCCAGACTGCCATCTACCCATATTTCAAGTTTCATAAAAATATTTCTATTACTTTTTGCGTTAACACTGGATCCAGTTTATGTGTAAAATTTGCCATATTTTCAGTCTATTTGTTGCCATAGCAACCAGAATTTTCAACATAGGAAGAAAAGAAAAAGACGTGCATAATCTCCAGACTGCCATCTACCCATATTTCAAGTTTCATAAAATATTTCCAGTACTTTTTGCGTTATCACTGGATCCAGTTTATGTGTAAAATTTGCCATATTTTCAGCCTATTTGTTGCCATAGCAACCAGAATTTTCAACATAGGAAGAAAAGAAAAAGACGTGCATAATCTCCATACTGCCATCTATCCATATATCAAGTTTCATAAAAATATTTTCAGTACTTTTCAAGTTATCGCAGGATCCAGTTTTGTGGACGGACGGACTGACGGACGGACAGACAGACAGACAGACAGACAGACGGACAGACAGACAGACGGACGGAGGGTAAACCTAAAGTCCCCTCCGGTAAACCGGTAGGGGACTAATAATGCATAATCTTCTATTCTCATTGGCCATTTATGTATGATTTTAACCATACCACTACTGCTCATGGCTTAACATTTGGATGAAGTAAGAAACAAGGTAGAAATTAAGATATTGTTACAACTGAACTTACTGGTGTTCAACATAATTCACTAAAACAGTATGTTTCAAATTCAACATTTTATAAATATAATTAATAAGTAAATTCTTTAATCTTTGTGTCAATATAAGCAGTAAAACAAATCATCTTACTTGAGCATCTCTAAGTATAGCAGGAATTCCGGTGTCTTCAATGTATCCTTGTCCACCAAAACTCTCTAGTCCTTCAGTACCCACTTGTAATGCCTTCAAATAACAATATTACAGAAAAATATTAACTCTGAAACACAAAAACTATTTGTACTTCATTATCAGTACGCTTACTGATTTTAACATTCATCTTCAAACTTCAAAGCAGAATTTCCATTTTCTGTAACTGCAAAATCATAACCATGTCTTACAATACAGCTTTAACATAACCATGTCTTACAATACAGATTTACCACAAAGAGCCACTATAATGGACTTGGGGGTCAGTCAGTCAGTAATTTTCTGTTGTTCTATAGATGACGATGGCCCAATATTATTATGTAATGAAATAAAGTCTATAATTGTTCTTGTCAATTTTGTTACTGTAAGGTGGCCATTTAGTCACTATAAATCCCTTGAAAAAACCACAGCTCTAAGGTTTGTGACAACAATGCTGCTGGAAGCCAAAACAACTGTCTCAAAACACATTTTAGGCTCTCAAAACTTAGAAAACACTCTTTTTTGTATAACTGTGATAAAACCGAAAATGACTTGACTCAAATTCAAAACAATAAGGGAGTACCTTACCACATGTACCAAATTACTAGAACTTAGCAGTTAACAGTATAGAACCAGGTAAGAGTGCATAATTTGTTTAGGACAGAAACCTGCTATAGAATCAATGAAATTACCGCAATTTTCTCACTACATACCTGTTTTCCACTATACAGTTTAGACAGTGGTACAAGCAATCTCAATAAATTCTTCTCATCATCTGTTGCTATACCAACATCCTCCCTACCCAGCAACCTCATGTTTTCTAAACAAAGTATTACAGCTCCCCTGCTTTCAATCTACAACAAAAACATAAACTTATATACTTGATGCATACTTTCTTTTTTAATGAAAATGTTCAAACTTATAACTCATGCTATTTGAGAAAAATTGCCCTTAGTTTACACTAATATACAGTGAGGGATATAAAGCAAGTGATATATACAGTAAGTGATATACAGTGAGTAATATATACAGTGAGTGATATACAGTGAGTGATATACAGTGAGTGATATATACAGTGAGTGATATATACATAGAGTATAACACAGTAAGTGATATGTACAGTCTGTGATATACAGTGAGTGATACATTCAGTGAGTGATACATTCAGTGAGTGATATATACAGTGAGTGATATATACAGTGAAAGATATACAGTGAGTGATATATATATAGTAAGTGATAAACAATGTAAAAGAATTATATTCTGTTAGTGATATACAGTGAGTGATTTGGACTATATCTCACTCTTCCAATGCAGTATTTCATTTAGTTACATGAAATAAGATTATTTTATTATAAAATTCCATAATTACCTCCATCCTAGCCAGTGTCTGTATATGTAGGGGATAGTTTTTCAACTTGTTACCGAAGGCTGACCTTCTGGTGCTGTAGTCTCTAGATAAATTCACCATTCTATACAAATAAAATAAATAATTATATTATACTCATATTTCTTTTTGTTTAGGTTTTACGTGGCACAAACACATTATAGGTTTACATGGCACAAATACATTATAGGTCATATGGGACTTTTCAGCTTTACTAATGGAGGAAGGCCTCAGGTGCCCTTCTGTAAATTATATCAGACACAAAATGGCACCTGAGTAGGACCACTGACGTTCGGTAAGCTAGCTGGATAGCTTTCTCACATATAGAACCTGACGACGCTTACACAACTATAACCTACAATGGTGAGAGGCAAATGGTTTGAAGTCAACACCATTTACCACTCTGCCCCAGACGCCCCTGTCATAACAAAGGATCAATTTGAAAACATATGAATTATCAGAAAGTATCTGATATGCTCCCATAGGATTTTATTTCTGTAAAATACCCATGACACATTCATGGATTTTTGGACAGTGACCTACAATTATTTAACAAAATTTGCGACAAATTTTCTGCTGTGACTGAGAAATGATGTGAGACCTAAAACCTTAATGAAGTATAATGCCAATGTTGAAAACAATGTTTGATAGCTTCCCTTGGTCTTTGAAATTTATGATAGGTTTATGTGTTAAAGATAACATATAATGTAACCCATGAATTTAGACTAAAAATTATGTAACACCTTAGAAAAAACATAAGGTTGAGTTTAAATATTCTGTCTATAGTAAAAATCTTACAACCTAGAAAATTCAGACAGTCTGATTTTAATAGATAATTAAGGTGGAAAAGATAGTAAATCAAGAATGTGTGTGCTAAATAATGTGTTTTATGTTAAATATATTAAAAAAAACAAATTAGGCCAAAAAAAAGAGATATTGATAGTATCCAGACATAATTACAAATGAAAAATCTAAATCCAGACCTATGTTTATTTCCAGGTCTGAATCCAACTAAATGATTTATTATCATATATGAGACAAGACACAATAAATTTACATATCTGAATCCAGACACAATGATCATTTTCATATATGAATCCACACACAAAAATAATATACATATCTAACCCAGACACAAACTAGAACTGTGTCCAAAGGACACGGATGCCCCCACTGTGCAGATGTGCTCGTAAACAAGAGCATGCATATCTGTATGTAAGATTTTTATGTGGAACTTTTTATTAAAATCTGCCATCCGGTTTAAGAGGAGTTGCGTTCACAAAATTTCTATATGGTATATAGTGAAAAAATCAACAAAGGGCCATAATTCTGTTAAATTTGGTCGCAGCAAAAATTCCTTCCTTTACTACCATCTACACATTAAGGTTGTTCATCCCTGGAAGTTTAAGCAAAATCTGCCATCCGGTTTAAGAGGAGTTGCGTTCACAAAATTTCTATATGGTATATAGTGAAAAAATCAACAAAGGGCCATAATTCTGTTAAATTTGGTCGCAGCAAAAATTCCTTCCTTAACTACCATCTACACATTAAGGTTGTTCATCCCTGGAAGTTTAAGCAAAATCTGCCATCCGGTTTAAGATGAGTTGTGTTCACAAGATTTCGGGACGTACGGACAGAGGTATGGACGGACGTTCTCACAGGACAGTAATTATGTGGCTACTCTATTGTTCTCTCTATTGTTCTTTTTAGCCACGCAAAAGAAAATAGCCACATAAAAGCATTACGGAATGAATGGCATCAAAGAGAAAGAACAGTTACCTATTGTCCCTCTAGCCACATAATTACTCTCCTGTGAGTGCGGACAGAAGGACGGACGTACAGACAGACAAGTGCAGCGAAGCAGAACATGCCTGCAATATGCATAACTCGGGTTGGTATTGATCACTCTCTGTAAAATTTCATTGAAATCCCAACAACAGTTTAATCTGTGAAAGCCAGGCAAGCTTTAAAGTGGACAGCCAGACAGATGGCTCCCAAAATTTATGCTTTATAATCTGGCACAAATCTTGATGTCATTCTTCACTGGAACCTTGATGGATTACCCATAGAATGTAATAAATTAAGAAAGGGAAAAAGGAAAAGCAGGATTATCATAGGTAGTGCAAGTGATATCCTTCAATAGGTTATACATCCTTTAAAATTGACCACTTTGTATGGTTTATTCACCCCCATTTTAACACATTTTTGGTCATATCTTCCCTGGTTAACTAATCAGTAATGACAAATGTCTCCAAAAATTGACCAACTACTGTCCCACAAGATTTCTATATCAGCAGTGAGAGACAAATGAGCCCTGTCAGAACAAAACCAACATAATGCGTTTGCGACCAGCATGGATCCAGACCTGCCTGCGCATCCGCGCAGTCTGATCAGGACACATGCTGTTCGCTTACCAACTCTATTACAAGTAGAGAAACTGATAGCGAACAGCATGGATCCTGATCAGACTGTGCGGATGCCCAGGCTGGTCTGGATCCATGCTGGTCGCAAACCTACTATGTTGGTTTTGTTGTGACGCGGCTCAAATGATCATTAGATTACTGGTAAATGTCAGGGATCAATAGTAACTGAGAAGTTCTGCCTAGCCAGGATTAAACCAGAGACCCTGGAGTATGAGACCTTGGATTACAAATTTAATACCCTCTCTATTAAGCTAAGCCAGTGGAAAAGTGAACATGATTTTTTTTCTATCATAAAATCAAAACAAAATCACTTTTTATACAATAGCTACTTTAAGTCACCATTTAAAACTACAAGTCAGTCTCTTATTTAATTCTAGAAGCAAGTCAAGCATAAGCGCCATGGAATATAAAAGCAATACTGGGTGAACATGAAGACATACCGCCGTAATGATCCAATGGCCATTATTGAAGTATGTATCCTACTTATTTTCAACATGTTAGTTATGACTGACACACCCCTCCCACTGTCTGACACCTATAGATAAAAGAAGGTTTGATTTATCTATGATAATGAAGTGAACAGAAGTATGTAATACCGTCTCATTGAGCTAGCCGCTGCTACAGAATTATGTATTCTGGTCAGTTTAAGCATGCTGCTAATGGCAGGAACCCCTCTACCTTCATCTGATACCTATATATAAAGGGACAATAAAAATGTATTCTAAATAGAAATGACAAAGAATGTTCCATTTTAAAGTGACATTATGCTCATAATTTCATTGTCAAATTGAACTGAATTAACTATATATATTTAAACAAGAGGGTCACGATGGCCCGGAAATTGCTCACCTGTATATAGGCTCCCAGGGCTGAGCCAATTTTAACCTAGGAGCTATTATTTTAACAAACAGACGGACACGGAGGCCGGACAAAAAGCGATCACAAAAGCTCACCATGTAACTTTGTGACAGGTGAGCTAAAAATTGACTGTTATAACGGTGATTGACAACGATTGATATTGAAAAATGTATAGGATAAAATGTTAATCTGCCTTAAATATGAAAAGACTGCCCCACACTTTTTATAAATTGAACATTACAAATAAATTCCTATGGATATATATGGAGAAATTTCCTTTGGCCATGTGAGTTATTTATCGTTCATGCAAAGTAAATTATAAAATTGAAAAGAATTCTGGCAAAATGTACACTTTTTTGAATTTCACCCGTTCACTCACTATATACCCTGGATTGGCATAAATGTCACTTTTACTGCAAAGTTATAACTATTTAGAAATGATTTTCTGCATGCATCATTTGCTCATAATATACATATTTCTTTTGCAAAGGTAATTTTCAAAATATAAAAATAAATTATACATTTAAAACTACAGGCACCAGATATATAGCTTTATACACTGTAATGTTAAGCATTTTAGTATTGAAATACCTAAAATAAGCAGCCAACAGTTTAAAATTTGGTCATATCTATGCAGGCGCCCTACAGTTATCCGTAACCTTAGTAAATGTGCTCCAAAAAGCTTAAGGCAAAAAGTGTCTTGTAACCTTAAAGCTGCATGCCTCCAGATCAGCAAATATATTTCAATAAAATCAAACTTGAGAAAAATGTACTAAGATTTTGAGCAAGGTAAAAAGATTGAAGATTCAAGTAAAAACTTAAATGTTTTGTGTGAGTAATGACTGCATGATTTTGCAGTTTCATCACCATATTTCTTCTGCATAATTAATGCAGTAAGGGCTATTGTTTGCATATTTTGTGTTCATTTTGGTAATTTATATGTAAATTTTAGTGCCGTTTGCAAAATGTAAACAACTTTCCTAGTTCACTTCACAATATTTTACTTTTAAATACATTTTTTTTTAATTTTGACAAAAATTAGCATGAATCTGGAAGCATGCTGCTTTAAGATTACTTGATATATATCAATGTTGTGATGAACTTATAAACTACATGTTTTATAATAGGAAATATTGAAGATTCTAACACATACTTTAAATGCTGTACATCCGTCTAGCAGTAACTCTGCTGTCGGCAGCTGCCTGGTTCCCAGCTTATTCTTCAACCTAACAATCTCTATATTATTTAGGGACCCATCTTCATTGTGAACCTCCATGTAAAATAGGGATAACCCTTTGGTTCCCTATATAAAAAAAAAAAATCCAAAATTGAAATATATATAACTGTACCTACAAAAAAAATGTGATATTTTTTTTCAAAATTTATTTTCCCTTCACATCAATCAGGAACTTACAAAGCTGAAATCAATTATTATTTCTATGACTCTCTTCATTGTTTGTTTTATATATTTCTCCACATGGAGCATTTCAATCAAAGATTGCAGTAGTAAACAAGTTAAAATTTCTAGGTTTCAAACATTAATCTACTCCATATTTTCTTAATTTACTGTGCTACAAAAACCAGCTACAAGAGTAACTCATAATGTTTTATCAAATGTTTATAATAAAGTACTTTACATATTTCTCAATCCCTAAAAAATTTGCCTTACCATAATTACCTTTATCATGTATTCGTGCCCTTAAAACTGGTAATGCAGGGTCGTGCATGTATTTTGATGTCACGACTCATTTGTGTTATACAAAATAGTGTTGAGACAAGCTAAATGTTTGTGTTACACTATTGACACGTCAATAAGAAATAATTTTATTTTTGAATTTAAATATTTATTTTGTGTATATGATAGAATATAATATTTGTGTTACTAAGGTTCATAACAGAATTTATTGAACTTGTTGAATAAAATAATATTTTGCTTGCCAGAGGCTTGTATAATATAATTTCATTCAATTAGTTTAATAAATTCAGTATTGAACCACCACTCATTCCATATCTTCTATAATATTCATCATAAACCACATTTGATTAAAATTTCTAGTATACATTTTTCTAAACATACATTTCCTATTGCTGACTAGAAGACAAGACAGATAAGAAAATTTGCTTCATATTTTATTTAAGTCATTCCAGGACTTAGGGAGCTGTATAAAAGTTTTGTATCGTAGTTTGGGGACCTTTCTATTGAAAATGTGTCAGAGTTAAATCGTATACAAATCATGCATGTACAGTGTGTTAACTGGAGTGGGGGTATTAGTTACCCGCACTCAGAACATGCCCACTGACTGGCTCTTTTTTGCTGGAGAAAAGGATAGCGATAGAAATATCACATTCAGATGCTCGTTCATTGGTTACTTTTTTCTGGGGTTTCATATTGTGACATCAGGGAATAAGTTTTTATTTTTGTCTATGATACAAAAGAGAAAGAACATTAAAACACTCGGCAATATGATTAATACTCCGGGGCTATGCCCCCTCGTACAAATCAGATAGCCTCGTGTTTCGATACTCTTTCTATTACATACCTGGATGGTGTTTCCTTGTCTATCAACGACTCTCGCTAGGGTAAATGTAATATCAGCATCAGTGGCTGAGGAGAACCACTTGTAACCGTAAAGTTTGTACGTACCATCACTCTGTTCTACAGCCACTGTTTCTGTACCATTAGCTAACATAGAAGGTCCAAGAACAACATAATTTATATCCTCAAAATCTATTGATGCATAATTATAATTTGTCTTTATTGATTTTTTAGCCAATCAGAGAAACACATTTAAAAAGCTATTTATAGAGAATACAATAAAATCATTTATGCACACTGACTTCAGTACTGGCCACCTAATGAAATATCATTCCCTTCTATGGAATGAATCAGAATCAAAGATACCACTTAAAACCCACATGGTAGATCAATTGCAGGGTTATTGACTAAGCAATAGATCTCATAGCAGTTAACTTCTATTTTTTCCTGCATCAACAAATGAAAATATAACAGATTAGTATAGCAGACATGCACTTCAGTATAAGTTTATTAAGAACATACCAACATCTGAGCCACCACGTTTTTCTGTCATCCATTGCCCAGAGGTCCAAAACAGGGCAGGATCCCTACTGGTCAGTCTAGGGTAAGCCTTGTCCATTAACCAGGGTGCTTCCTCCTTCAAACCCTACACACATTACAAAAACATCAGACAATTAAACAAGCACTACTTTCAAATGCAATTAGTAAATAAGCAATACTTAAGATGCAATTTGTAAACCTCATAAATAGTAAGAGAAATTACTTAATCTCTCTTTTCAGACTTTAGGTGGACCTACACAAACTTATTTAAATCCTAACCCCTGTATATTCAGGTAATGAACTTCATGTTAAATGTTGAGTTCTGCTTAAGCCAATGCTAGGGGCAGCTGACAGTAGCTTTCACTTTCTAGTACCCTCAATATGAACAGATTTAATCAAAAAGAATTCTGAAACATTTTAATTTTCTTCAGGAATTCTTTTTCCTCAATTCTATGTGCTTCAAATTTTGAATTTTTCAATTCAGTGTTTAGGGATTTAAACATCAAAATCCTTAGATAAAACAGCAAACTTTACCGAAGTGTCACACCAAGGCTGGGTTGAAGACAAAAGTTCTCCCTATTCTTCAAAAGGTCGAGCTCAAAATTAATTGTTAAAAAATCATATCAAAACCTCTCCTTAAAGTCAAATAACATAAACAGTAATAAAGATATCAGGAGTTAAGAAAACTTAACCTCAATTATTTTAGCAGCACCATCCGTCATTGCCAGGGGACAAGAATACAGCCCAGAACTTGGTGTATTAAGATAATTCTTCACCAAACCATATAAACGGCTGAAATAAAGATACATGTAGAAAAAATGCTTGGATATGTTCACAATAAAGGTATGAAAATTGCAGACTTATCTAAACATCTATTAAAGTTTGTTTACTATGAGAATTCCAAATTTTGTATACAATGATTCCATAACAGTTTCAGAGATATATAAAAACATTGAGTTTTGAAAAGAAGGGTTTTATTTATCATAAATTGTACCAGCATTTAAAATTGAATCTTCTGTCTGCTCACAATCTCTTTTATTTTTCTATTCAAAATTTGTCTACTGGTTTATGGGTTACGAGCTCAGATGTAGAGTAAATGTATTTGAGATTCCTTCCTTCTAACTTCCTCATGTTCTATCATTAATGTTTTTAAAATATAATATTTCTCCATAGTAAATATAGTACTATGTTCAAGACAATAAGTGGTTCTTTGGCATCTCATATTATCAAAGGTAACCTTCTTCATCAGATAGCCACTTAAAATCACAACACAAAAATTTCTTGCATGTAAGACAGAATTTTCTACCATTTACACTGGTGCTGGAAAATGTCATTCTGTCACCATCATAAATGAGTTACATGGTTTGAAAATAAAGCAATGTCAATCTGCTGTTATGTATTAAGTTGTAATTTTATATGCTACTATAAATCCATTACGTATTGATATAAATTTAAAAACAAGAGGGCCATGATGGCCCTGAGGTCGCTCACCTGTATATAGCCCCCCCCCCCGGCCCAATTTTTACCCAAGGGCTTTTATTTGTTTATTTGAACAGACTTGGTAGACACCCATAAGAAGATGTTTCATGCAAAACATCTAAGTTCTAGCTCATTGGGTTTTTTAAAAGAAGATTTTTTAAGTTTTTACTATACACATAGAGTAAAAAACAATGACACCCCTCGGGCAGGGCCAGTTTTGACCCCTGGGCTTTTATTTGAACAAACTTTGTAGATATTTACTTAAAGATGTTGCATGCTTAATATCTAAACTCTAGTTATTTGGGTTTTTTCAAAGAAGATTTTTAAGTTTTTGCTATGTATATAAGGAAAATCAATGACCCCCGGGGCGGGGCCAGTTTTGACCCCAGGGCTTTTATTTGAACATACTTGGTAGACACCCATTAGAACATGTCTCATGCTAAATATCTTAGCTCTAGCTCTTTGGTTCTTTAAAAGAAGATTTTATAAGTTTTTACTATATGCATATAAGGAAAATCAATGACCCTTGGGGAGGGGCCAATTTGGACCCCAGGGGTTTTATTTGAACAAACTTGGTAGACATTCACTAGAAGATGTTTCATGCCAAATATATAAGCTTTAGCTCTTACAGTTCTTTAAAAGAACATTTTTTAAGTTTTTACTATATGCATATAGGGAAAATCAATGACCCCCTGGGGCGGGGCCAATTTTGACCCCAGGGCTTTTATTTGAACAAACTTGGTAGACATTTACTAGAAGATGTTTTATGCCAAATATCTAAGCTCTAGCTCTTACGGTTCTTTAAAAGAAGATTTTTTAAGTTTAAACTATATGCATATAGGGAAAATCAATTACCCCCCAGGGCGGGGCCAATTTTGACCCCAGGGCTTTTATTTGAACAAACTTGGTAGACATTCACTAGAAGATGTTTCATGCCAAATATCTAAGCTCTAGCTCTTTGGGTTCTTTAAAAGAAGATTTTTTAAGTTTTTTACTTTATGCATATAGGGAAAATCAATGACCCCCTGGGGCGGGGCCAATTTTGACCCCAGGGCTTTTATTTGAACAAACTTGGTAGACATTCACTAGAAGATGTTTCATGCCAAATATCTAAGCTCTAGCTCTTACAGTTCTTTAAAGGAAGATTTTTTAAGTGTTTACTATATGCATATAGGGAAAATCAATGACCCCCCGGGGCGGGGCCAATTTTGACCCCAGGGCTTTTATTTGAACAAACTTGGTAGACACTCACTAGAAGATGTTCCATGCCAAAAATCTTAGCTCTAGCTCTTACAGTTCTTTAAAAGAAGATCTTTTAAGTTTTTACTATATGCATATAGGGAAAATCAATGACCCCCCGGGGGCGGGGCCAATTTTGACCCCAGGGCTTTTATTTGAACAAACTTGGTAGACACTCATTAGAAGATGTTTCATGCCAAATATCTAAGCTCTAGCTCTTAGGGTTGTTTAAAAGAAGATATTTAAAGATTTTTCTTTCGGTTGCCATGGCAACCAGAGTTCTGCATGGAATTAAATTCTTTGAACAATTTTTAAAGGTGACCACCAAAGGAACATTCCTGTGAAGTTTGGATGAAATTGGCTCAGTGGTTTATGAGGAGATGTCATTTAAAGCAAAAGTTTACGGACGGACGACGGACGACGGACGGACGACGGACGGACGGACGGACGGACGCCGGACGAAAAGCGATCACAAAAGCTCACCCTGTCACTTTGTGACAGGTGAGCTAAAAATCAACCAATTATTGTTATGTTTGCAAGAAAAAGATTCACACTTGACAGCAATACAGGTGGGATTATCTGGCTCTAGGGAAGCTGTTTAGATGTACTAAGACTCGGCCTATAACTTTCTAGCTGGAAATTACCATTTGTTCTGGTAGCCAGTGTAAGCTTCTTATACTATATATCAGCCAACAAAAAAAACATCATGTGACCGTTACAGTGTTAAAGTAACATCTAAGAACCAAACCAAAAGTACATAAAGAAATTAAGGAAGCTATCTAGCTAGCTAACATAACGTTGGTGGTTCGACTCAGGCTTGTGCCTGAAATAATGCATAGAGGGTCATATGAGGTCTTCCTACACCAGTAAAGCTGGAAAGTTATCATAAGACTTGTAGTGTTGATGCGACGTAAAACCCAACAAACAAACCAAAAAAAAACAAACAAAAAAATAGATAAAGAAATAAATTTTACCTGTACTCATCATATTTCCTTTCATAAGATATAGCTATAAGACCTTCTTCAGCAGAGATGTCATGCATCTTTCTCCATGCCGGCCCTGTTACCAGCTTATCCACAAGTTTTCCCCAGCCTTTAATATATGTATCAGTAACAACTGGTTAGTTGATTAGTTAACCTTGCTTAATTATTCAACAAAATTGAAATTTGTAATATTGTTAAGTTCTCTAAATTGTATGTTATTTGAAAGGGTATTGAAAATCTAACTACTAAAGGTAAAGAGAAAAAAGTCATCATTCTTTAGAGATAATGAAATTGATTTATCCGGGAAAAAGGTAAAGTTAGGTGTAAATCTTTGAAGTATAATCTATGTTCTGCATTGAAGTCTGTTTTAAAATACTTCATATATGTCAAATTAGAAAAAGACATTTAACTTTTAAATTCACTTTCAAATAAAAAATTTGAAAAGATTACATTGTGTAAGTACATAACAATGTGCATAAATTTATTTCGAACAAAAACTCATTTCATCATCATGAACTGTTACTTTCTAACACCAGACATCCTTAAATAAATTAACAATCTGTAAGATGCCATGAATTTATAAGACCATCAAGAAAATAAGGATAGAAAATTGGTACCTGTGAATTTTTCAACATATGGCTGTTCCTTTTCACATTGTAAACTGAGATCGTACATCTCCGTGGCAACTCTCTCACCAAATCTAACTAAATCTGCTTCTATATCTACCAATACCTACAAACCAATCTGATGAAATCAATGTCTAAATGAAATTATATATATATGTATATAATTATGCTTATAAAACAATTTTCAAACATTGAAGAATATGTAAAATATTTACTTCAAATATTTGTACATATTATATGTAATCATAAAAATATATGCATTCATTTCTTATTGGAAAAATAGACTTAGTCTTTAAAGAAAATAAATTTTCTATTACCTCCCTTTATTTAACTAAAATGTTAAATTTGGTAATATCTTTATAAATAATGCTTTTTGGAACTTACAAAATTGTTAAATCTTAATTTGAGCATCATATTTATGATATAAAACCATAATAAAATTGTGTTACAGGATCTTTAATGTCAAACTCTCTTGATCCTATAGTGATGTTGTATAATTAATAATGAAAGAACAGATTTCATACATAAAGTTTAACAATGCATTTTCTTTTTTATCAATGATTATACACTGATTTTGATATGATCATTTTTCCTAAAAAAAGGCTAATATCACAATGAAACTTACAAATGTCTAAAGTCCAATATGCTTAGCATTATCAAGTGTCAATAATTTTAGAAAAAAATGTGTAGTTTTAAAAATTTTACGAAATGAGATACAAGATTAATCATTTACAGACTTACCTTTTGTGGTACATATCTCTTTAAATAGGACTGGAGTAAAGCATCTTCAAGGTACTGGTTCCCAAGTACAGGCGCCTCTTGCACAAAGGTTCCTAGCCTTGCTCTTGCAAATGGGAAATCAAACTCTCTAACAGCCCCTTCAAATGATGAAGCCTGCGTGTGCTGGTCTCTGGAAGAGCCATTATGAATTGTCCTACTATGATGGGCTATAAGTGCCAGTGGATTTGAGGTCTGATGCAAAGTGAATAATTTCCTAACACAAGCTTGTTTGATTCTGCTTACAATCATTTTGCCGTCACTATAATGATCTTGTCATTTACTCATAGTATTCAAAACTTGGCTGAAAGAAAAAAATCAGAGTTAGTTGCTAATTAAATTCTATACACATGTAAGTCTACATTACAATAGGCAATTATTGGCCTTTTTGGAAAAACATGCATAGTGGACCCTGGAAGATGTTAAAATTATATTAGCGTACTTGCTTAGAAGGGACTGCTGCTCCCCATCCACCCAAAACCACTGCTTTTAAGTTTTTAACATATTTCTTTCTAGCAGTACAAAAAATTCAGAATAAATAACACCTACTTACAGAATAAAAGCAAAGTTATGGAAGCGTATTCACCCTTTGTTTTAGGGTCCATATTATGGACTAGATTCTATCCAAACCTCGTTTTTAATATTATAAAGAAAAACAACATTCATTACTCAGTTCTGATACAGGTAAACAATAAACAGTACTTCAAGGCTGAACACCAAGTCAAAGCCAGAACAAACAGCATTTATATTTAGAATGGTCCACATTACCTACAAGATTTACTAAGAGTGATATTAAAAAACTAGCTACTTAAACATACGGGAAAGAAATGTATTGGTATTATAAATTCAACAAAGAAACTGACATTAAATAAAATGGATTACCATTCATTAAAATAAGTTATCTCTTTATCATTTATATTGTCACAGCTTGAATGCTATGAGTATTGAATATCCTCCTGCTTCTTTCAGTGAAAGTCAAGTTCAGTTTCACAACTTTCTTTGATGAATCGGATTTAAAAGCAGTGACTCTACCTTATAAACATCAAAGATTGACCAGATTCTTTTGGACAAACGGCTAGCTCACCTGTTTGACGTTTAATCGGAAAATGCGGATTTTGATCCATGTAAAAATTAGCTTCAAATCCGCGGTTACGTCTAAATATTTGGACTAGCGTAAAGATGTAAACCTATTCAAATGAGATTATGTGTGTCAAAAAATATGTTTACCTTCGTGTGTGGTTTATTCTAATCTGTACTTTATTCAATCATATAATGACAAATTTTAATCGCACGAGATTAAATTCATTTAATAAAACAAAAATGGGACTCCAGGCAAATGGCGTTTTAAATAAAAAAGGGAAGTAACTGCGATGAAGGAAATACCGGGGATCCCCCGGCGATCGTATTAAATATTCGTCGTCCGCGTTAGCTCCAATCGGGTCAGATCGATACGCCCTTATTAAACCCTTTTATCAAAAATATTTTAATATTTAAACACGAATGGGAACATCTGTTTACAACGATATTTTTA